ATAAAATACCGGATAGACCGTGGGCAAAAGTAGGAGTAGATTTATTTCAAGTTAAAGACCAAAATTATTTGTTATTAATTGATTATTATAGCAAATTTTTTGAATTGGTCGAATTGCAGTCAACTCATTCATTTTCTGTTATTACATCTTTAAAAAATATATTTTGTAGACAGGGTATACCCTATATAGTCATGACTGACTGTGGTCCACAATTTACATCGAGTGATTTTGAACAGTTTTCATCAGAATGGTATTTCACTCACATAACTTCATCGCTGCGTTACGCCCAATCAAACGGACAAGTTGAACGGACTGTTCAAACAATAAAGAATATAATTCTGAAGTCTACCGCGGAAAGGCAGGATTATAGGTTGGCTTTATTAGAATATTTAAACACTCCTTTAGATGAAAACTTGCCTTCTCCGGCGGAATTATCAGAGTAGAAAATTGAGAAGTATATTACCTATGTCTACAAAATTTTTAAAACCTAAAACACAAAAAAATATTTTAAGTAAATTAAAAGAAAAACAACTAAAACAGAAAACGTATTATGATCGCAACGCAAAAAATTTGCAAAAATTAAATGTCGGGCAGAATGTAAAAGTGTTACTAGACGTAAATGAAAGAAAGTGGATATCCGGGATTGTTACAAGAAAAATAAGAGACCGCTCATATGAAATTGAATTATTTACTGGTAGTAAAATAGTTAGAAATAGGAAACATATAATAAAAGATTCGCCAAACAGATATAACACTCCTAACCATAACTTCGAATATGATGACGTTAATGCCAGTGTATCTCATAACAACCAAAATATGTACTCAACATATAGAGAAAATACTATTAATAATAATTATTTTACATGATCTGGCAGGTCAGTGAAACCACCGAATAGATATGGACAAACATCATAAACTAGTGCATCATGATTCATCTTATAAAGGTAAGGAAACAACTGGGTGTGTGTAAAAAAAAGAAGGAAGATGTAGGATTACTTCAGTATTTAATTTTTACATTACTAATTGGTGTTTAATGATTTTATTACGCTCGCGTCCGTAGGCTTCGACCACCTAACCTTAGGCTCACCCTACACGTGTCCCCCGGGTGGTGCTAAACGAGCGACAAAGCCAAAAAAATAGACTCGGCTCCTCGCCGTATAGTAGCGGCGTAAAATCTACCACCACCCCTTGTTCGCACCATGACTCACAAAATAAAAGAAATGGCCCCAAGTTCCCGGCGCCCCTTCAATGGGGCAGGGGCGCGAAGAATCTCCGGGAGAAAAACCGGTGACGAGGTTCGCCACCCGTCACGTTCTGTCTCCCGCTTAAAAGGGCGAAAAGTGGATTGCGGAAACCCGTCTGGCTACGTTGAATGTATGTGGAGGAATGAATGATAAGATGGATGAAGTATGCGAAATGATGAATGACAGAGGAATAGATGTGTTATGTGTGTATGAGACGAAACGAAAGGGAAAGGATGCAACTGCACATGGCACGTATACCGCGTATTGGTCTGGTGTAGACGAGACCGAATGGGCATGCCAGGGAGTCGGTTTCATCCTTTCAGAAAGAATGGGTCAATATGTGAAAGAGTATGAATGTGTAAGCCCGAGGCTGCTATGGATACGAATGAAAGTGGGCTTAAAGAAGCTGTTCCTGCTAGGGGTGTACGCCCCAGACATGTCTAAGCCCACTTACATCCGAGAGCAGTTTTGGGACATGGTAAGGATGGTGTTGACAAAATGTAAGGAAAATGAAAATATTATTATGTTAGGAGACTTTAATGGAAGGGTTGGGGTGAAGAGGTCTGGTTATGAAAAGATATTGGGAACGTTTGGAGATGAAAGTTTAATGAGAATGATGAAGACCTCCTCACCGTATATGTGGAAAAGAATCTTTTTGTGACGAATACTTTTTTCGTCATAAGAAGATTCACATGTATACATGGGAAAGAGGTGATGATAGAAGCATGATAGATTTCGTAATTGTGGATGAAAGAATGAGGAGCGCAGTCGTAGATACAAGGGTTTACCGGGGGTCCAACGTAGGGACGGATCATTACTTGGTCTTATGTCGGATTAATGGTCTTTTCAAGCGTTACACCACTGCGTTACAGCGTATAAGAATAGAGAAGTTACAAGATGAAGATGTGAAAGAGAAGTATAAATGTAGACTGAGAGGAAGTATTAGATGTTTGAATGAGTTGTGTATGAATGATTTAGACTTGAATACTGTGTGGGATAATATTAAGAAAGGTTTGGTGGATGCTGCCACCGAAGTATGTGGTGTAAGTAAGAGAACAAATGAAAGGAAAAGGAATACGTTGTGGTGGGATGATGAGGTGCGGGTGGAAGTTGAATCAAAGAAGAAAGCATGGTTAGATTTACTAGCAACCAAAGCTGGTAATTCTTCTGGTATGAATAATGAGATTGAAAAAAAAGGCAGAATTTAGACGTCTAAATAAGAGAGTAAAAGAAGTTGTTGAAAGGAAAAAGAAAGAAAGAACAGATAAGAATGATAGAAGGATATCTGATAATTTCCAGGCTAACATAAAAATGTTCTGGAAACTCGTGGGAACTGCCAGGGGAAATACAAAACAGCCTCTAATGAATGCTATAAGAGACGAGAATGGATATATTCTGAATGATGAAGCTTCAAATTTAAACAGATAGAAGGAATACTTTGAAAGCGTGTTTATGAGTGAAGAGTCGTCTGAATTAAATGAACTAGAAATTCCAAAAGAAGTGGAAAGGGGTACGGAGATAAGTGAAGATGAAATAATGAAAGCAATGACAAGCATGAAAGCAGGTAAGGCAGCTGGATATGATAGAGTATCACTCGAGATGCTAAGGGCTGGAGAGGGAGTGGTGGCAGGCCTGCTGTACACCTTGTTTAATTTACGTTGGGAATTAAAACGGGTACCGGATGACTGGTGTAAAGCAGTTACAGTACCAATATATAAAGGAAAAGGGTCACAGCAGGACCGCAAAAACTACCGTGGAATCAGCTTGCTTAGTATTGTGGGTAAACTGTATGCTAAGGTGTTAATTGAAAGAGTTATGAAAGAAACTGATGAAAAAATTTGGGATGTGCAAGCGGGTTTTAGAAAGGGAATGGGGTATACAGATCAAGTCTTTTCCATGCGCATGATTGCGGAGAAGTTTTTGGCCAAAAACCAGAAAGTTTTTTGTGCGTTCATGGACTTGGAAAAGGCTTATGACAGAGTGGACAGGAATGTGTTATGGCAAACACTTAACTCATATGGGTTGAGCGCTGGTTTGATACAGGTATTAAGGTCTCTTTATAGGGACTCTAGTGCTTGTGTCAGGATCAATGGGGTCTACTCGGACTGGTTTGGCATCCAAAAAGACAGGGCTGTGTAGCTTCACCTTGGCTGTTCAACATATTTATGGACAGGTGTTTGCAAACTTTGAAAGATGAAGAATGTTGTTTAAGAATGGGCGAGTTGCCCATTCTTAAACAACATTCTTCATCTTTCAAATGTCAAATGCCTTTTGTATGCCGATGATCAAGTCATATTTGCGTCATCGGCGGCCGAGTTGCAAATGATGGTTACATTAATGAACTGGGAATTAAAAGAAAGGGGAATGATAGTGAAAACAAGTAAGACGAAAGTGATGGTTTTTGAAAGAGAAGAAAGCAAAACGGTATGTGAAATAAGAATAGAAGGAGAGTTAATTGAGCAAGTGGATGAGTTCGTGTATTTGGGATGTGTATTTAGCAGGGATGGTAGATATGATAGGGATATAGAACGACGAGTAAATGCAGGGAATAGAGTGAATGGAGCACTACACTCTATTGTGAAGAACCAGAATGTGTCAAAAAAGGCACGTATGGTAATTCATAATGCTGTGTTAGTCCCTACTTTAATGTATGGTAGTGAAAGCTGGGTGTGGCAGAAGAAGCACGAAAGTAGAATAAATGCTGTAGAAATGCGGTCTTTAAGGAGTATGCTAGGGTTGAATCTGAATGACAAGGTGAGAAATTGCGTGATAAGAGATAAATGTGGTATGCAAGATGATGTTGTGACCAGGATTAAGAAAGGAATGCTTCGGTGGTTTGGTCATGTAGAAAGAATGAATGAGGAAAGAGTGACAAAGCAAATTTATATGGCAGATGTGAACGGCCGAGTCGGGAAGGGACGCCCTAGAAAAAAGTTTATCGACCAAATTCGCGATATTTTGAAAAGGGGCATTAGAAGTACATTAGAAGTACCCTTAACCGACGAGCATGTATGCGTATATATATGGATGTAAAGGAGGCGAAAGAGGTATGTCAGGAGGATGACGTGCCAAATAGAAGTCCGTAGTCTCTGCCTACCCCTCTGGGTGACAGGCGTGAGTGTTTATGTATGTATGTATTTATGTATAATTACTGTGTACCTATGTCTGATAAGTAAATTCTTTGCGAAGGAAACTATTTGTAAATTTGAGGGAGAAGGATGTAATGATAATTGTAAAATTAAAATAAATTCAGTACTGGCCAGAACACCGTGTTTGATTGACGCTCGTCATACATGACATAAATAACTTAATCCCATATTATGGCGTTTTTGCTCGTTGTATTGCCGGAATATAATTCGCCCGCGAAAAGGAACCACACTTTCATCTATACATAAATCTTCGCCAGGCGTGTACGATTTTTTAAAATTTGCATTCATTACTTCCACCATGTCTCTTACGCGGTGTAAGCTATCGGTAGTATTCTCTTCATCTTCTTGTGAAAAATGAAGCATTGCGAGTAGTAGCTCAAATCTATGAGATAATGGTTCGCGCAAACTGCTGTCCAATGATTTTATCTATGGTCCAGTAATCAGCTATTTTCGGAAGCCTAAATATACCCATGTATAAAATCAGCCCAAAGAATTTTTTCATTTCAATAATGTTAGTAGGGAACCAGCCGCGAATGCGCGCTGCTTTCGAAGCTTCATTAGACATTGTTATTCTATTCAAAGCGTAGGCATTAGTGCATAAAACAATTTAATTTAACACCTCGTCTGTCACCATAAGCGCAAAAAAATCAGCTGGGCATTTGTTTGTCATGGCCATGCGTAAGCTGAGCTGCATTCCTAGATACTCAGTAAAAGCTATAACTGTGCGCTGATTACCTTTAGGATCAGTCCACGTTGAAGGCGGCGAACGTCTGTCTAAGTCTTGGATGGCACGATTGGTTTCAGCATCACTGTCTTCGCTATCAGATGGTATGACCCGACGTCGCTTCGAATGAGTAGGCTGAATATTATTTTCTTCGTCGGAACTTAAATGGAGACTTCTATGCAACAAATCGAACTCGATATTTTCGACCTGTGTTATATCTTCTTGCGTTATGTCAAAGTCGTCAAAACTATCCATTGTCCATAACAATTATAGTAAAAAACCTCGTAAACAATCAGTCGAATTCACAACGTCACGTGCACGACGTGCTCGCAGTCGTGATTTCCGATTAGTGACGTGCACTGCACGTCTTCAATCAATCCTTTTTTGGTCAGAGACACGAGGGCGGATGCGCGAATAGTACGTCGCGGGCGGCGGTGGGGCGGCAACATAACCGCGCGGCTCTATTTAACGGATTTTCGATATTACGTCCGCTGAAGCCATGGGGGTCAATGTTGTGCGATGCGTAATAACTAATAATATAGGGTCAAAATCATTGTTTATTAATTATAACACGTTTTTTAAGCATATAATGTGGCTAAATAATGAATAAAAACAATCTGTGAAAAATTATAAAAATGAAGATTTTTACTTGATAGCGTATCACATTTGGCAGTGAACGTGTTAACAGTCATTATTTGACTCCAACCTCTCTTGGTAAGTGGTGATGAAGCCTTAGCTGAAAACTCGCATTATCTGAGCGTATCTATAGTAAATATTGTGATTTTTTACTATAATAAACCAGTGTTTGACTACTATCCCACCTTGTAATAAGTTGTAATTACAATAATCATTACTTTTTTATTAAATAAGAGTGATCAACAAGCGCACAGTATATCTGATGAGAAGAGTATGCTTTAGACCCTTAGGGGAAATATATACGTAGGTATTTTTTACAGAAAAATGGTGACAAACGAGCATCAGTCGGCCTAATGGTAAGTGGATGCTGTGGATTATAGACATTTACATTTATCCTCAATTAAGAATCAAAATTAATTTGTGTTGTTACTCCTAAAGACTAACTGATGACCAAGATGGAATGTGTCATTTTCAGTATAAAGGGTCTCCGGTTCTCATAATCATTAAATGAAATACAGCAGCATTAAGCTGCTATTTTACGATGGTATACTGTGAGATCGCGGTCCTAGCTTGGTCGAGCCGACCCGTTCGTGCTACAATCATAATATAGCTGCAGCGTGTTCTACCACGTAGATATGTATGCATAGAGGGATCTCACAATACTACATAATATATTGAGGCAATATTCTAGTGTAGTAATTTATTTTTAATTTTCAAATAAGGCAAAAAGAGACAAACATTTAGAAAGATATTGCGTTATTTCAAGCTTAGAGATTTTATTTAGTTTAGTGACTAATGGCCATCTTTACCACAGCTCTAAGATCACATACCATCCTGTGAGTAGGTAGCGTTAAAGGCAACAGAGGAAAATTAACGGTTGAAAACCCACTTGCTAAGAAAAATAACTATGACAAATATTCACCCTATGAGGCAATTCCATAAATAAGGCAAGACCTATGTTCAGCAGTAGATATTCGATAGTCTGTAATTAATGCACAAGCGATAGATAATATTTTGAGGGAGCACAGAGAAGAACAGGTAATACGTTCGTAATCACCTTTTTACTAATAATATCATAGTTCGTAATGGATTTGTCGTTAGCTGTGATGAAGCGAAAAAAGAGGAGGCAGATCGTGGTCGTGTCGCGGTTATTATAATATAGTAGCAGTGCCCTCTGTGTACGTTCTGTGAAGCAAATCTGGTGGCGATAAGACAAAGAAATAAAATATTTCAAGGGGATCCTTAGTTACATATTAACAGTTATTACTTCCTACTTACATAGTTAGTCTAGGGATAATTTGGCAGAGATATAACGGCTGAATGTATGTTTATTTCATAATGACTTATTCACGATAAATTTTAAATTACCGCGATAGTGCGAAATTCCTCATTATTCGATTACGTTTTTGTTATAGGATTATAGATGAAGCTTCTACTGACGTTCGTTTATATTTTATGTTTATATAAATAAGTATTACGAACCGGATTGATAAAAATCTTTTATTTTATATAGTCATAGATTTAAGTAATTTCGTTTTTTGTTTCGCTAATGGCACATCAATAGAAATGGAAAAACGGCAACATCCTTATAAAAGAAATAAGGTGAGAATAATATAGTTATGTTATTTTGAATGTATATGAAATGTCATGTGTTCAAAGAATTAATTTATTAGTATTAATTTATTTTAGGATTCCTTTAATGCTACTAATTACTCTGAGTGTGTTCCATAGACATTTACACTTAACCTCGATTTCGAATTAAAATTCAGATGCGTTTTCACCCTTGAGGACTGAGATAAAATGCCACGTTGTCTGTAAAAATGTCTCCGGTTCTCTACACTCACCATATGATACACATCAGCATTGAGCTGCTATTTTACGCTGGTATTCCGTGAGAGCGTGGTTCTACCCCGGTTGAGCCGACCCATTCGTGTTACAGCTATAATATACCTTCAACGTGGCTCTACCACTACTGGGTGCTCTACTACCAATTATAATTTTTGCATGAACTTTATAGATAACGAAGTGTTCATAAAAAAGTTGTTAATACAAAATACTGTACTAATGAACTTGACACCCACAAATATGGCATATATTGGGATGCACTTTACACAATTTTGATATTATCAAGAGTTTATTGCGTCGAAAGCAAATTCCAAAGTAGGAAACAAACCACCGAAGCATTTCTTTATTAATCCTCGTCAAAACATCATCTTGCATACCACACTCTTCTCTTATTACACAATTTCTCACCCTGTCACTCAGATTCAGCCCTAACATACTCCTTAGCGACCACATTTATACTGCGCTTATTCTACTCACGTGCTTATTCTGCCACACCTAACTTTCTATACCATACATTAAATTAGGGAGTAGCATTGTGGATTCCAAAAATAAAGCAAAATTAATATATAAAATTCGTGGTCCTTATCGCAAATATAAGGTCTTCAGTAACGATATATATGTAGTCAAAGATACACCTATACCCCACTAGGGTAGACATCTTAGTGGTATATTTTCAGTTAATAAAATTCGTCATTGGTTGGTTTGTGAACGAAGGTACGAGTCTGATACTCAATTTTAAATAGTAATGCCGATAAACAAATACGTATTTGATTATAAATAATTTGTTGGTATAGTGCTATAATGATAATTCCATCCATTTAATTTGTAATGATTTACTAATTAAATAGGTTTAGTTGTAAAAATAATACTGTTACTGTTGTATTCATGTAAAAAATATTATTTCTTAACATTGTAAATTATATTAGTGTGTATAATAATTTATTAGTAAAATAAATATTATTTCGTAGATAAATTATTTTATTAACTATATAAATTTTATATAAATTATTTTAGTAATTGTATTAATTACCTTCTTAATACCTCTTGGTTAATGGTTACGTGAAGCAAAATAATAGCGCAGAAACTATTAATGGTAATAACATCATTTTTGTATTATTTAAAGATTATCAGCTTAACGGTTTCCTTTCAATACAATAAATGTTTTCTTATTGTTCCATAGACTTTGCGAGAAATAAAGCAATTCGTTGTATTACCAGAGCGGTAGTATTTCCTATTGTGCCCTTTACCAGAGCAACAATAAGGCTCTTCATATACAATGGTTCTTCCGCCACGAGTATATATTGTTTAAATGACAAACAAACTTACAGTCCTTATATAGCAAGTGGCTATTATAGCTCACGTAGACCTACATAAAATAAGAAACAACGAAAGTTAAAGATTTGTTGTCACCACTAAATATTAAGGTGGAATGTCTCACAGCTTGTATTATATTTACCCTCAAGACAGAAATCACGCCTGTCACCCAGAGGGGTAGGCAGAGACTACAGACTTCCGTTTGGCACGATTCTGACATACCTCTCTCGCCTGTTCCACGTCCATAAACCTACGCATACATATTCGTCGGTTAAGGGTACTCTGAATTTGGCCCCTTTTCAGTAAATTGCCAATTTGATCGACAAATTTACCCTACAGACTAGAACATACAAAAATAGGTGTACCAACCCATTCGAACTCCTAGGTCATCCATTAACAAAAACATGTTACATTCAATTTAGTAGTAATTATGGAATATTGAATAATTATCTTAATATATATATTGCAATGGACAATTTGTTAATGAAATGACTGAAACAAAATTTCTGGGAATATTTTTGGACAAACATGTGAACTGGAAAGCCCAAGTTGAAAAGGTCTGTTCTAAAATAAATAGCACATTTTTCTTCTTAGCAGACTGAGAGGAATTACATCTCATGAAACCTTACTAACGGCGTACTATGCATACATTTATTCTGCACTCGATTATGGTCTTTTGCTTTGGGGTAACAATACAGATGCTGTTAAGGCCTTTACAGCCCAAAAGAAATGTATTCGAGCTATGAATGGTATGGTGCCAGATTTATCTTGTAAAACATATTTTAAAAAAATACACATTTTGACGCTGCCATGTACGTACATCTTAAAATTGGTATGTTTTGTTAAAAATTATATACTTTTATTCACAAAGTTAAGAAATACTGCACAGAGAAACTTGAGGCATACTGAAAGATTGACACATAGTGTAATGCCAAGCACTAGGAAAAATAGTTCAGCTATGTGTATAAAAATTTTCAATGCACTGCCTACAGAGTTTCAATCACTCCCAAAAGTACGTTTTATCAGGATTGTCAAACAATGGCTTGAGGAGCAATGCTTCTACTCTGTTGAATAATATTTAAAATTTATGACTAGGATTTGGCATCGATATTAAAATGAATTAAGTAATTACTATCATATTATTTTAATTAAATTAAATGTAATAAAATTATTATGATGATTTTGAAAACATGTTATTAATTTATTAGTTTTATATTAGCTACATGCTACATGCTGGACTTAAATAATTTATCAACCTGTAAAGTACCATGTTTTCTGCAAATAAATTATGATTATGATTATGATCATTATTCGTAAACTCTACATTCACAATGTGTTATTCGTAAAAAAAAAAACAATAATCTTATGATTTAGCATCCGTTTCGATCGAGTTATTATAAAGCACTGTCTAGTGTTTGGATGCAATCATTATTAGAAAACATTTCAATCATACAAGATGG